TCTCTCTCTCTCTCTCTCTCTCTCTCTCTCTCTCTCTCTCTCTCTCTCTCTCTATCAAGAAACCAACTCACAAACAAGTAATCACGCAGGCAGTCATCCTTGCTACGAATACTACATGAATATTTAAACTAATTTTGTGCTGAGAATCACTTCTACTTTATACTGTCATTATAATACCACTGTTCTCGAGTAAACCGAACTTTTATAATTTTGAACTTTTTTTGTCCGTTCAAGTTCTCATTCCAATTCCTGGTTCCAATCTCTTATCTTCAACTCAAATAGAAGTAAAGCTAATTGTCCCACTGAGTCGTAGCCGAGATTCTCTTTTAGCGTCCGTGTTAGAATCTTGTGAAAAATCATAGCTTTATTAGGAGCGACAGTAATTACTCCGTGTTGCCTGCTAAATGTGATACAGGATATCAAGAATACTCCGTATATTTTTGCGAAATGTCAAAACTGTCAAAGAACGTGCTAAATCACTTTATTAGTTAGTAAATTAAATCACATCCACGTTGAACGTCGCGCCACACATGACCGATACACCAAGATAATTAGTCTGTTCTTTTCAGTTACACCACTGAAATAAGTTACTCCTTAATCGCGGATGCGAAAACGCGAATATTTCAATTAAATCTACTGATAAATAAAAACCACGACCAAGAACTGAAACTATCAAATTATCAAACATTTAGACTTACTGCTTTCCAAAGGAAAGGCAGTTACCGTTGCTCTCGTAAAGCACAAAATGTATCGTCGAACTACTTGCAATCGACTGCTGGCGTTCGAAAGCGCCGCGTTAAAGTAACATATTTACATCCCCTCTCACCTCTAACACCCCTAACGCCCCTGGGTATCCCTGGGTATCCCTGGGTAACCTAGATACCCCTCAACTCGTATATATCGGAGCATGCGCTTTGAAGTCGAACTTTCGATGCTACATTACCTCTCTCATTAAAGCAAGATAGCGACATGTAGAAAAGAGAAACAGATATATATAGTGATTCTATCCATCCACCCTATCAAGCCTACTCACTCACACTATCATACAATAATTTTCCTAACCACCCATCCACTCACTCCTCCTATTCATTGTTGCCACCCCTATCACCCCTACCACTCCTACCACATTTTTAATAATTTTAAGAAGCAATCCTAAAGTATTTTTTCTTTTTTTTTAATAACATTTTTTACGAATGACAGAAATTAAAATTGATACGTCTCAAGATTCTGGTGCACTACAAAAACATATGTCAAATTAAAACTGACTAAAAGACTTAAAAAATGACCTGTAAGGTTAGAAAAAAGTAATTTTTTTATATTAAGTCGCTCCTAATTCGATTACTGTTGTTAAGGAAGCATGAATATGTGATTACAGCAATATGTGATACTACGCAATATTACGCAATTGGTAAGTACAGTATTATCGAACTAGTATAAATCGAAACTTTGTCAGATACATATATACACCCAAGTAGCAGACTCAAAATGACATCAAAAATTGGTCATAATTGGTCGATTGATGTCAAATAACTAAATAATGACGTCTTTAAGACGATTTTTTTGTGACGTCTTAATGACGTTTCTGTACAACGTCTTAATGACATATTGATTTATTAACTTTTTATATCTATTATATGACTTAATGACTTATTATTGACGTTTAGAGACGTCATTAAGTCGTCTTAAAGTGTCACCATCGATCTGTGACATTAGACCGTCATTTTAACGATTTCCATATTTTCACATTTTTAGCCATAACTAACCAGATTTGGACGTCATTCATATAATATGAATTATTATAATATAAATTAACTATGAAAAGTACATACATCCATACCTTGCGTCCGTATCCTGCTTCTTTCTGACTTCTAAGGTATTCACCTCTCGTGATATTGACCTTGTCCTCTCTGATTACGCAGTTTGCTAGATATTGACGTATCACCATAGATATAATATATCTAGATCGAGAAGTGGAAGTAGAGGTTCATGTAGAAAAGGATACGCTCTCTCTCTCTCATTTGCGCAAGTCATGAAAGTATATATGTGAGTGTATATGTGAGAAAGATTAAAAAGAGGAATGAAAGAACGAAAATCTGGGACTGAAAACCACATTAACTGCACATGTCTTCTGCATCAATATTAATCAAATAATTGTTCAAATGTTCTTTCCAACAAATGTTATACTCCAAATTTTCACCATTATGCGTGTCAATTTTAATCCACACCTCTCTAATACGTAACCTTTCACACACATACATTTATACATATGCGCGAATGAAAAAGAACGCAGGATCTCAAAACACAATGCATCCTTTCTATGTGCACCTTACTCCCACTCTTCAAATAAAGGCAAACACTCGATCTATATTATAGACATATTATGGGTATAATTATATTTCTGTTTTTATTTTTTCTTCAAATTAGATAAAAACAAACATATGATTTAACTATATTATATGAGTTAACTTACCAAGAAGTTGGAACAACCGGTCCATGTCTATTCCTTTGTCCACAAACTTGCTTTAGTCCTTAAGCCGTAATAAACTGACCAATCACAGTTGATTATTTTACAAATAATTCTTACGATCTTGGACCGAGAACATCCGTAACATGTTATATTAAATACTGACAATTCAATGGCCATACCTGTACATAAAATTAAACTTAAAGCACAAAAATATTCGTAAACATGTTACGGGTGGTTATGCGGAGACCCTAAAAAATCAGCGATTGCAATTGGTCAATTTGCTTACTACTTACGAGCCAACACACAAACCAACGTACATCTGTAACATGTTATGTTACGTTAAGTACTGATAATGCAATCATAAAATGTACGTAAAATTAAACTTAAGTCAAAGCACAAAGAAATCCATAAACTTAACATGTTACGGATGTTCTTGTGTCTTGAGACTACCTCTTCCTGTTTACGGTTTTCCGTGTGCTACTAGCCTAACTATA